CCCTGCCCTTTGGCTCCCCAGTTGACCCAAAGGAGACCCAAATGAGGAGGGGGTCCCGGCGCCCCCCGTGGTGTGGATGTTGGGGACCGCGATCCGGTGGGCTGGACCGTGGGAGCGGGCCGGGACCCCGCGCCAGTCGCCGCCGCCGCTCAGCTGTTTGCTATGGGGTTTGTCGTGCCCTCCGTGGCCCCCGCGCACCGCGCCCAGGCCCAGCGCGATTCGTTGGCGGGAGTCACGTGGCTGTAATCAGCTGTGGCCAGCCACGGGGCGCCGGGGCGCACCCACCCCAACCGGGGTCCCCAAGTTGTCCCCGCGGAGCACGGGGCGGGAGCTGGTAGGCGTGCTGTTGCCACCCCGTTTTTGCTACGCGCCGCACAGGTCGGAGGACAAACGAATCGAACTAACTGCGAGTTGGAAAATCAGAGTACTACAAAGACCTGTTTACTCCAGACCCCTGCCACTCCCCCTTTCCGGGGGTGGGGGGGATTTAATTAGCCAGAGGAGGTGTGCCGCCCTTTTATGTTTAAACTTTTTTTATATACCGAGCCTTGTAGGTAATCTGAGGATGTTTATTCCCAATCTCTTGAGATGGAAAACCTGAAGTGAACGCAGGCTAAACTTGACCTTTTGGAAAAGAATTTTTGTGGATGAAGCAACTGGGGGAGAGAGACTGTTGGCCAAGTTGGCATAATCCTATGTAAGGTTTAACTGCAGCAGCAGCATTCCAACAAAGAAATCAAAAGCATGCCGGATTTGCAGGGGTCATATTTGTGCCAGATGGGGATGTGTCCCCTGCAAATTTATCGTGTACCAGTACTGTGTTAGATGCAAACAGAATTGCAAAGAATTTACCTTTGCTTTGTTTTTTCCCCCTTAAAAGATTACAGTTTAGGGCAACAAATGTGCTTGGCACAGTGGATTGTGATAAGAGTTGTATGAGCTGCCAATAAAATGATTTTTAAAAAAGATTACAGTTTAGTAGTAAAGTCATGGGCAAATGAAGTGAGGTTACAATAACAAAGTTAAATTTTGGTAAATGTAAGAATTAATAAATGGGCCGGTGACTGGGAGTGGATTAGGGCATATTCCAAAGCAGATTGGCTTTGATGAGACCAGGAGATCTCATAGGCTTTGGGGCACTGGGCAGACCAGTTTAGGAAGAGTAGATCTGGAGCCCTTACAAATTATTGAGAAGGGGAAGCCTGTGGAATTTAGCACATAGGAAATTTCCACACATCCCCATTACCTTTCTGCAAGCCAGGTAGAATGTTAGCCCTTGGAGGGGCTGAGGGAGGCTATAAATGTAATCACACCCTGGCCCAGTCTAAGTATAGACTCTGTGGATGTTTGGTTTTGTTTTATTTTGAAGCTTATCTCTTGCAACCATCTTATCAGAAGAGAGCCAGGGATCACGTGCTCCAGTAAATTATTTAGCTCTGGGAGCATTGGTTTTGCTTGGAGGGGGGGGGGGACCTAAGTCAATTGGATTTCACAGTAGCTTTTTAAAAACAAGGCTAGTGAAATAATTGTAGCTTCTTTTAAAACATTTGTTCGGGAGAATCATTGGCAATTTCTTCCCCTAGACATTATCTTAGACTTTGCTTTTTCTCTGTTTAGTTCTGGGAGGTTTAAAAATTGTAGAAAAGGAAATAAGGTAAAAAAATTACGTCTAAAAAATTGATCCATAAAAATTCACAAATTTTTATGAGACATGAAGCTAGTCCTCAATATACTGAGATGTGAAGGTATCCCTAACTCTATTTGTGTCCAGAATACTGTTTTTAAGTCTCACAGTGCCTAAGTAGTTAGATAATGCATGCTGGTGGGTGCCTTAGTGGTTAAAAGTGCTGGACGCTAACACAGATCTACAGTCCCATCCCACAAGCCCCTCCAAGGGAAGATTTATAGCCCTGGGAATCTTGTGGACAGTTCCACTCTAGTTCTATGTCAGAAGAGAGCTCGAGAGCAGAGGGTTATGTATGTTAATATCAATGTCCTTGGTAATCTATGTAATAATGTCTGCCTCGTGTAGAAACTGAACCTTAACTCTGGCATGAACTTGTTACTTTGCAATGGAAACTAGGCAGTCCCTCAGTGAGAGGTGTTTTTGACTCAGGGCATTGCATCATCACTTACTTGCCTTGCCAGAAGGTATGTTTGGGCAATCACCAACTCGGCTCGTCCAGCTGACTCAGTTATAGACTAGCCTTGTTCTCTCGTGGTGACTAAGTATTTCAGAAATACAGTGAAGCTTTAAAACAATAAGGTATTGATAATGAAGATGGGGGTGCAAATCATTCACTTAGCAGTTATTCAGTTCTTGTCAGATGAGCTGATTCCACAACTGCAGTGTCATTTGGCAGCAAAGGGAAGTGGTCAGCTGTTGCCAGAGAATTAAAAACACAGTATCTAATGGCCCTGAAACTTTAGCTTCGTGTAAGATACTGTACAAAATGGGAAATTGCTTTTGTGGATCTATATCTATATCGCAGTAAACTTGTGGAAGGCAGAACCTGTGTAAGGTGGAAACCTGTTCGAGAAGGAAAATTACTTTTATTCCACTTGTGTAGAGCAGTGGAAAAGTGGTCAGCCTAGATTGTATCAGGCCAAAGGCAGAAGGTTTTTAAGACCCTGAAAACACGCTACTGCCACGTTCTGCTCTCACAGGTTTCGATGCATTTTCCCTTGTAGACTTCCAGTAGAATTTCACTACAAATCTGAAGCCAGCTGATGAAATTACCATAGCGAGTCAAATGTTCATTATTGCTGTCTGTAACCCAGCATGGTTCTTTTAGGTTGCTTCCTTTGTTCAAGAAAGAAGACTGACAACTACTTACAAGCATGTTTTTGCATGTTTCCATTGTGTTAGAATCACTCCAAAGGGAAACCTTCCCGGAAACGAACAGATTCCTTCAACTTTCTGATCCCTGCTAGGAGAGCCCATGGTGTCTTGATTTTACTTAATATCTTCTAGGGGGACCGGGGTAAGAAACCGTTAAGCTCAATCTGTACCAAGTGGGGCTGCAGCTGCATGGGGTTTACTTGGCTGCAGTTATGTAAGCATTTCACCTGCCCTTTAGCCTGCAGCCCTACCCAGGAATGCATATTTGAACTGTGAACTTTTCTGTTAGCAGTCAGCACTTAAAAGCTTTTGCCATCCAGGGACTTTAGCCCCCTTTCACAGGTGGCGTTGTGAGCTGCTCACTGGCTAGGCTGCTAAGCACAGTTGAGCCACTGAGTCAGTAGATGGTCGTGGTCTTATGTCAAAAGCTGTCTGTTTTGTGGTGTCCTTGGACATAACCCTGAGGGGGAGTGTGAACTGGGCGTTTTTCTCTGAGATGCAAATACCTGTAGTTCTTATCCAGGGTATTTAAGAATGGGAAGTGGAGAATTCTGTTTACCTAGCTTGAAACTAGTTGTGTATGCATGGTGACTTAGTGGTTTTATTTTGGGCTGAGATAAGCAAGGTCAGCAGTTTGAAGCTATTTGCTCTGCTGTGAAAGATGGGGCTTTCTATTCTGGTAAAGTGTTGCAGTCTCAGAAACTCACAGGGGCAGGTCTACCCTGTCCTGTAAGGTCCCTCACTGTAAGTTGGCATCGACTTGATGGCAGTGGGAGCTTGACACTAACTTAACCTGTATTTTATGACTTAGCACTGTGACTTTTCTTCTATTTATAACTTTTGTTGTCTCTAGATTGCTAACCCACAAGGCTGGTAATTCAAATCCACCAGCTGCTCTGCAGAAGAAAGATGAGGCTTGTCTGTGCCTGTAAAGATGTACAGCTTTGAAAACCCTCTGAGTTGGTATCAACTTACGGGCAATGGGTTGGTTTGGAAGTTGGTTCGTTTTCGTTTCATATTCTTTCTGGCCTTTGTTTTTCTCATGGTTAGTAAACGTAGAGGAAGTTCCTGGGTAGTGGCAAATACTTAAGTGCCCCAAGAAGATGCCTAGGGGGAAGATGATCGAGTTCCCAAAACAGCATTGCCCACCTTATGGTTGTTGTGAAGTGCTGTTGAGACAGTTCTGGGGTGTACCACCCCTCTATGTAGCCCAGTGAGACCCTGCGGGGTCCTTGGGGAACACCAGGCTGATGTGATGGGACTCACCCGGTGCCCAGGGTTGGAACAGTGACTGGTACACGGTATAGT